TCGAGAGCTCTATGTAAACTTGAGATGACATCGAAAGAATTCAAAAAGCCACCCCTTGACTCCCTTTGTTCCCAAGTATCCGACAGCCTATACACGGCTCCTATCTTGTCAGTGGTAAGCTTTTACATAGCATCATCACACATTCCTCGCAGCATATCTTCCCGGTACGGGTATAAGAACATGTGTTGCTCTTCAGCTCTACGCCTATCTGTTATCGGGTCCCTCTCACTCAGCTTCTCCTTGATATAGGCTTTGATCACTTCAATGTCAAACTTGGATGTGTATTGTCAAACTTGTGTGCGTATTGTCAAACTCGTGTGGAATATTGTCATTCTTGATTGTAATATATTCTGCCAGTGTCAAACATGAATTCTCACTGTCAAACTTGGTTGCTACAAAATATAAAAGTGACAAACTTGGATTCTCATTGTCAATCTTGATTGCAACAAATTTAGATTGTGACAAACTTGGATTCTCATTGTCAATGTTGGTTGTTACAAGATAGAAAAGTGACAAACTTGGATTCTCATTGTCACTATTGATGATAACATTGTCATTCTTGTCTGCTCACTTGTCAAACTTGCACGGGAAAAGGTGTAGTCTTACAAACGATCGAGCTCTGCGAACAGCTTGATCGAAGTAAAATCCCGGCTTGAATTGCGTAACATTGTCCCGAATCGATAAGCCAGAAAGGTGATATTGCTATCGAGCGCCCCTCCACTAGGAAGGGCTGCCCGAAAAAGGCTTGTGTGAAACGCGTGGATGGAAGAGGACGATAGAGCATATGGTGCATCATCCGATAATAAAAAAGGTTCTCGTTCTTGGACGACGCCACCATGGGCGCCGAAGTCGATGCTCGACGGTCGATCCTCGACGCGATGATGATGAATACCTCTCAAAAAAGTCATTTGGGCTCTTGGAGGATCCACACCCAGCCGTGATTACCTTGCTCGGTTTTGGCCAGTTCGTTCCCTATAGCCAGACTGGGGGTCTGGGACTGCTTTCGGGCAAGCAGGTATATCCTTTCGAGACCTATTGCAAGGGTTGGGGTATTCCACGGGGAGGGGAATGAACGGAATCTTCATGGCGGAAGGTCCAGTGCTGTTGAACAGCAGCTGTTCTCGTTTGAGCCAACTGGCTTCCCCTTTGACTTTCGTGCTCCCCAGCTACGTCACATGTGGCACAATAATTGTGGCACAATTTCCAGGAGGGTTTAGGAATGTTGCCTGGCCAAGCATAGCAACCTAATGGCCTGGAAAACCATTGAGCTGGCCGAGGAGAGCAATAAGGTGGAGGAGCAAAAGATGGCTACCGCCTTAGGTCGATGGTTATCAGAATGCAACAAGGTTCTTGCGGATGCCAGCAAACGGGACACTGAAGAGTTCGAGGTCGAAGATACTTCGGACATTTTTCGCAGGTGGTGTGATTTCGCGCCTAAGGGCCGTCAAACATGGTCTGACTTCCTTGCCAGAGAGCGTATGCTATATCCTCAGCTTGAAGGTGTCGAGCTGATTGGTACTGCGTGACAGGTGGGGCGTGATAGACTCCTGAGGGCCCTGTCGACCTATCCTTATTTCAAGAATGAAGTCGCGGAAGCTCAAGTCAGAATGGCGTTTGTCTGCTTACGAAATTCTGATTACAATAGGGGTGTAAAGTTCAATCATTTGCTTCCCCAATATCTACTCCGATCAACTCTGATCCTTAAAATGCGATGAAATGGTCACCCTGAGGGTATTTCCGCATCTCGTTCGAGGATCGTTAGCTAAAGCTTGGAGAAAAAAGCCTCTAATCGGCCGAAATTGAGACCAATGTTGCCGAGATAAGCCATCACAGATGGCTAACCTCCGAAACATCCGGAAAAAAAGGGTATCGAGTTATGTATAACAGGAGTGATGGGCCTTGTCGGTGAAATAATAACGACTAAAATGATCTCAAAACGAACTAGTTGTGCTATTAAAAAGTAGAAGAAAAAACTACGGCTCATATTATTACAGGGCCAACGTCGAAGAGCTGCCAACGATAGTCCCAATGCTTCTTGAACTTCCCCACGCCGGCCCAAGCATGGAAATTGACACCCGAAAGGAAATGCCACTTATTATATGCGTGGTCGACCGTGTTGGCCTTGATATCGAGGCTCACGGCGGCGTATGCCACTTCAGCACTCACAGAGGTACCAATAACACCGTATGCAGTGAGGTCGTCCTTGGGGGCAGCAGTGCAATTAATCTTGGCGTTGATGGCCCAGTTTATGACGTCACCAGCATAAGGTACGTGGACAATGAAGTTGACGGTGATTGCAATCTCTCCTTCGAACCCACCATCTACCCTCTTCTTAGCCGGATCTTTACTGGTCATGCATACGGATATCGCGAGGTGAACTCCGTCGGATTGACCATACTGGAAGACCAGCGCGCATCCACCCGCATCGATGGTAAGACTCAATATGCTCCCCTCGTCCTTCTTCAGGGTAACGCCAATAGATAGATGGGCGCCTTTGGTAGCATCATGAATGTCTATGATATTCACTTTGGCTCCCAGGGTTATAGATGGGTTAAAAGATGGGCCCAAAGAAGCGTCCAGAGAGACAGAGATGCAGTACTTCTTTTCTTGCTTCCCACCAGCTGCGACACAACCCTTGGGGTACTCGAACTTGACGTGTACTCGAATTCCGCCAGAGCACGGTGAGTTGTTGCATGGAAATACTTGTCGGCAGCTGAGCCCTTCTCGATGGTGAAGTAGCTGATACCCTTGAAGCCTTCAAAAGACCTCAGTCTACGTTTACTCATCCAATCAAGATCACGGCCCTCAGAGAAAAACTGACGGGTCTTCTCGGAAACGAATGGAGCATAAATCATGTCAACATCGACATGAGGGGCCTCCATATCATCTCCAGCGGTTAGACGACGATCACCATCAATTTGATAGTTGTCATACACAGTCTGCATGGCCCCAGCGACTGTTAGATCATCTTTGAGAGGCTCGATCTTATCAAAAACCGACTCTTGGAAAACCCGGGAGTTCGAGAAGGTGTTGACAGCAAGAAGCTTATTCGGTTTCTCGTTGTTCTTCTCAGTGTATAGGATCCAAGCATCAGGGGCAAGACCGGCTTGGTAAATAGCAGTATAGTTAGCGCCGGTGATAGGATCTATATCCCGGGGTGCGTACAGTATCCACTTATCCAACGAAGCATCATCGGACTCTTGAGGAACCCACCCTCCGTCGGCCAGAGTGCCACCAATGGTAGTCTCCTCGGGGGTGTCCTCAGCCGCTTCCACAATGGATACAATGGAAGATTGGCGGTTGAAGAGCTTCTTGACAACTTGGTGGTCGGGGGATTTGATCGACATAAGGAAGGTGTAAGGAAGGGCAGGAGAGGCTTGAACCGACAATTGGCCGTCTTTAGCGATGATCACATCCTCCCTGGTAGTATGAACACCATTCTCCATACCAGGCAAGGTGAGCCCGGAGGTTCCTTCAGCCAAAGAGATACCGCACGGAGCCGGGTTGCCATTAGCGTCGACGAGGCCGAGATTACAGTACTTCTTGGTAGTAATGTGCATACGCACATTTCCCTCGCCGAAACCAGCTTGAACGCCTATCAAAGGCAGGATCAAACAGGAGACTTTGGACAACATGGTGAGGGGAATACGAACACGAACTATGGTATCTCTTGACTCAAGGTCGAATCTAACCAGGGCTTACTCAAGGGCATGACTATGTACTTACTCGAGTGGCACTACGATATCCGAAGAAAATTCTTCGTTAATGGACCCTCCGAAGCTTACTTCCGAACAGGACACACGTGCTAAGCGTTTTCACGCACACAATATTCACGCGGACTATTCGTGGGAGGAGGGACTGGGTAAAACCCTAGGTTTAACAACCGCGAAAGTAGAACATTAACACTAATATGACAAATATGTGGCTAAGGTATGATATTCGGGTCAACCGAATCGGATGTGAGAGTGAATCAATGTCAGCCTCAACCTGACGCCTCTCTGCAGCGACTATCTCTCAGGGACAGGAAGTTTCTATGTCGAGGGCGTCGAGTCAAGCTCCCCTTCTGAAGGGGCCCTTCAGACTGAAGGGACATCAGTATTGAGTAGGTTGTTGCCGTCCTGCATAGTAATGCCCGCCATCGTGCACTGTATGGGCAATCAATGTTATAAGCCATGAATCATAACCTATAACATTGATTGCGCTACAATTGCGCTGTTGCCCAACTGCGCAACATCTATGGCATACAGGTGGCACACTATGTGCCACTTCTATGCGTAGATATCAAGTTTTATCAATGACAACAGATCCCACCCACGTCTCCTGCTCAACTAGTCGACGGCAATGGCTCCAATACATCATGATATGAGCCTATAACAACGAGGTTCGCTACGTGAATTTGTGCGCTACTGACAGTAGCCTACTGTTACGATTTACTGGCGCGCGCACCTGAGCTCGCCGAACTCGACATAGTAACATCATGTGTGCCAGTTATCTTACATGATGAGATGGGGATGCTTGTCCAGGCCGTAAGTGCTTTTCTGTTGTTAATACAATGTTCTTGGACAACTAGACCTATTCAAGTTTGTTGCGACTCTCCGATCAACCACTTAAAAAAGGAAAATTAAAGCGCAGCAACGCTAACGACTGACAGAGTAAATCTCAGGCCATCTCGTGGAAGACGACTAGTCATCCCTTCATTATCTTGTAGTCTTGAAACAACTAGAACTCTTTAGCATGTTTCCCATGCTTCTCCATGTTAGGGGGAGCAACATAAGCAAGGAGCATAACTTATGCCACATAAAAGTCATCGGAGCCAGCAGGTGAGCCAAAGAAGAGCAAAATCTGATCTTCAATCATTCTCCTTCATTCCATTCGTCGGGCTTTGTCAACCGAGACAAATCCCAACGCAAAATCCACTACGAGATCACGGGCTGTCCAGACGAAGGGTGAGAGAGAGGCGGACAGACCGCAGCCGTAGCAAGTTTTTGTCGACGGCACGAGGTGTCGAACCCGCGAAGGTTACGGCTGAATGGATTCAGGGCTAGCTCCCTTATCCATTCGAGTACATCGTCTGTCGAACGAGTATACCCATTGAGCTGTGGTTCGGTGCTAGCCGAACTCGCTCGGCGGACATGACGGAGACTTTGTGCAAGAGTCAGTCTCTCGTCCACCAGACCACAGCTGTAGGAGCCAGTCACATCCCGTAGGTATGCGGCCGATGCTGATGCATTGTCGAGGCTGGCTCGACAAGCATATTCATGATTGGCCGTGACGCTCACGAAAAGAGGACTGTGATGATCTGGGAGCGTCTTGCATGCTTCCAACCGAGGCTGCTGGCCTGATGCAGCCTTATGGGCTGTTGGTCGTGGTGGCCACAGCTTCCACACAGTGGTGGTGGCGGCTGGAAGCACGATACTGGAATATGGATATCTGACTTGATGATCGCTGGCTGACGGTGAGCCGGAGCATTGTCAAGTGAAAGATAGGGCATGAGAGGAGAAATGTCCCCTTTGTTGGAGTGGGAGGCCCATCTTTCGATTGATTCCGACATTGCAGCTGGCGATCCTCAATAGCTCTCTCTCAATGACACCGGATTAGCGTCTCGGACTTCTTGGTGTTGTCGGGACGATAGAATGGGGGTCTCGATATTCGACTCTCGAGTCGTAGAGATTTCCTTCAGCTTCTCAAGGAAAGGACTGATCTCTCCCGATCGTGGTTAACTAGACTCAAGCGAGACTTCGAAACGGGTATAATGTTCCATCGTGAGTGGGTGCTGAGTTTGAGACACTCAGATTGAGGACATCATCGTGAAAGTCGCGGCGACCTGTTCATTCTTCATCCGAGGATTCGTCTACAACAAATCTCGACGCGGCTCGAGCGTGGATGTCCGGAAGATTGAGGTAGACTTGGAATGCTGCGGAGCGCCATCCTCCCATCCTGAGGAGCACTGATGGAGCGACTTCCTGTTCGGATAGATCCGTTGCGTGTCCACGACGGAAAGAGTGCAGCCCAAACTGCTGCGGGTCCGAGAGACCCAGGTTCACCAGGCGTTGTCTCAGTAACGCTCTCAATCCCTCAGCTGACATCTTGGGCAGGAGAGATCTATCTGATGAGCTTCGGTGCATGAGGCGCGTGGCATGAGTGTGTGGGCATAACTTAGCTCCAATTGTCGAGCAGACACAGAAACGGATCAGTGTCACTGGTTTGTTGACGTTCTTCCTCTTCTGGAGGCGAATGACGACAGAGTGGTCAACATTTATTGTTATGTTCGTCTTGGACAACGGCAGAAGCTCCGATGGGATACGAAGTAAAAACCAATAGGCCAATACGAAGGCTGACGACGCCGGATCATCCGGTGGGGAATCCCCATTGTGATTTGGTTTGCTTTCGGGGATGAGCCGACGGAGTAAGGTGAGTTGGATGGCTCTCATTCTGCGATTCCCACCTGGATGTTCACTGAGTTGACCCTTGAGAGCGGTAGCGATCAATGGCGAGTTGAGCTCGGAAGCGTCTTTCCCAAGCAATAAAGCCCACTTCCGAAGATGACTGACATAGTTTGCTGCAGTACGGCCGTTGCGGAACGTGGAGATCCAAGAAACGATTACCGTCGAATCGACGGGGAAAGTCTCGATGGTGTTCCCTGAGATCTCGGATAAGCAGTTGATGAACGTGGTATAACTTCTCAGCCGGAGAGGTACTGGCGGATCGTCGTTGATCCGACGACAGAGAGAGGGTCCTCATTGCGCTTAGTTGCAGTAGCTCTAGAACTGGCGCACCCCTTGCGTGGGCTGCCCTTAGAGCAGTGCATACCTGACTGGGCCGTGTGTCTCCTCGTAGAATCGGTGCCAGTGGTGAATCTGGTAAATTGCGGATTTCGATGAGGGATCGTGCTAGATCCTCAGTCGAGGCGCTGCCGGATCTGCCACGAGGCGGCGGTCTGGTGTTGCTGATTGACATCTTTGCAATCTTCAACCGGGACAGAAAAAGAAAACTGCTCGCGGGTGTTGTTGAGTGTGCCAGAGATTATTATATCACGCTAAACTCAAAGTCATGCAAGGGAAGAAACAGTTCTTAAGTCAGAAGTTTTCAATTGTACAGTGAGGGCCATACTGCTGGGACCCGAGAGAAACTTCGAACCAAAGAGAAATCGTGCCTGGATGGACCATCGGCTAGGTTTTGCGCCGAAGGGACGCGGGATATCCATAGATTGACGCCCTTTCGAGAAACCAGGCGCCAAAATTCTTTGACCATGTCGTTCAGATCATTTTGGCCCGAACTACCCCGGATGAGTGCGTGATTTACTGGCTCGCTGTCCACAAATAGCCATGCAGTTCTTCCTTTCAACGATGAGGCGAAAGTGCGTATGGCAACGAGGGCGGCTAATAACTCAAGAGGCACGATCTGCGTAGCTCGCTGCTTCCACGATCCGACTATGCCGCTATCTGCAATCTCGGAGAAGTAGCGGTTCTTCTTCCCAGTCTCTGAACCGGAGCACAAGACCGCTCCGAGTCTTCCCTTGGCTCCCTCGGCGTCAGAGTATATCACGAGCGCGTTCTCGGTTGGAGGCTTCATTGGGAAGACGCGGCTGA